GTTAAAAAGCACAAACACCAACAAAAGCAGCACTAAATCAAGGACAGGGAACCGCTCAAGCAACTAGATTATTTCGATTAGTAATTGACAGTTCGATCGCCGGGTACTTCCCCCTCTTAACAAAAAAACAATTTTTCTCATTTGAGTCTCGTAAAGTTTAATTCTTTAATAACAAAGCACAAAGCTTTGTGAAAAGAAAACTTAATAAAATGTTTGCCGTATCGAAAAGTTACAAATCCTTTGAGGAGGGGGTTGGAAAAATTTCGCTTGTTTGTATCAATGGCTTAAAAAGAAAGTTAATGAGTATACAATTAAAAAATAAACAGCGGCGAACAAAAATGCTTTTAAGCCCCTCACTAATCGATCCTGATTTACAACAAGGATACGATGAGGGAAAAACGCCATCCATTCAATTTTTAAGTGAGACTTGACGTTGATAGATGACGAAACGTCCCGTCCAAGGAAAAATTAACACGCGCAATCGAACTATTTCGGGGAAAAACGCCAAAAATGACAGTTTAAAAAGGCGGGAAATTTGAATTTGTGTGAGTGATAACTGTCAAATTTGGCGTACCCCGCCGCCTATGACCCTCCACATGCAGTTAGGCACCCTTCCTCCTCCTCCACATTCAAGCTTAGATACTTACTGGCAACCCCGGAGGCATTGGGGTCCTTGTGGGTGTGCTTCATGTGCTCCATGAGCGCCTCTCCTCCTAAGAACATCTTATGGCAAAGCGGACAAGAAGTGGCATTGGGTCCACCAATCAGAGCTGCATGTTGCTGCAAACGACCAATACACTGTTGACAAAAGCGCGCGTTAATCAGAAAATTTCGATCAGACCAAACCGAAATCTGAATGAGAATGAATTTTTTTTTTTTTTGGTTTGGTTTGAATCGAACTTTATGCCGAGTACGGACCTGCGCCGACAGATAGGTTAGGAAGGTTACAATAAATATCAAGTGAATGAACTGGGAGAAGGTTTTTTCAACAAGGTTCGCCACTCCCTTTCTTTGAAGATTGGAACGAGATGGACGATGGTGGGATGACTGACTCTCACTAGACGGCTTCCCACACGTAAAGAGATGGGATTTTTTACAAAAGGGATTGTTATTGTTGGGCGACGAGATTTTTACTATTCGGATAAACTTTCTATGTTCACAATAAAAAATTTGAAACAAGCTAATGTAATTTATTTTATTACAGTTCTTTTTTAAGATTATTGGTGTTTTTTTACGTAAAAAAGACCAAAAAACTGGCAAATAAGAAAATAAAAACAAAAAGTTAAAGAAACTAGACAAAATCAAAAACTAAAAAAAGAAAAGAAAAAGTAAGAAAAATTGTAAAATGTTAAAAGAAAGATATCGAGAAAGAAAATAATAAAAAAAATTATAATTGTTAATCTTTATTAACATCAGTCACAAAAACAAAATTGCTTAATATCAACAAAAAAATTTATTATTTAAATTGAAAACAGCTATAGTATTTCAAAAAAATATGTACTTTTAATTTTTAATTAAAAAAATAACTAGGGACTTTAAATTTAAAAAAATAAGTAACATTAAAATTTAAAACAGTCGCCTCGACTTGACTTTTTTTGTTATTGTTTTTGCTTTATTTTAAACAAGGCAAAATTTTTAACATTTTTATAGATTTAATAGCTTTACATTTCTGTTTCTGATAATTTCTATTTCTAAAATATCAAAATAGCTAGAATATAAAAGATCAAAAAATTATTAAGAAAAATTTGGCAAAAACGGGGACCAAAAAGAGAAAAGAAAGATTAATAATAAAAAGGCGAATACTTTTTAGAATGTAATAAAACCGTAAAATATTAAAAAAAAAAACAAAAAAAAAATAGAGAAGAAAATTACAATTGTTTTTTTGTTAAATATATATTAACAAAAATATTATTATTTGAATTGTAAACAACTTAAATAATCGCTTTTGATTTTTAATTTTAAAATAAAAAAATAATTTTTTAAAAATAAGGAAGCGAAAAATTAAGTATTTACCTACTACAAAACAGATAGTAGGTATAATTAGTAATTACAAGCCTCGGCTTGACTTTTTTTCCAGAACTGTTATTTTTTGCTCTATTTAAAAAAAAACAAAATTTATAATATTTTTACTGATTTATAAAACTGTTTCTGATTATTTCTATTTCTAAAACATCAAAATATTATAGATACAGAATTTGAAAGATATTTTTCTTTTAAATAAAGATGCAAAACTAAAGAAATTTAAGAAAATCGGAAACAGATAGAAAAAAAAACAAAGAAGAAAAAAATCGACTTAAACAACAACAAAAAAGCTTGTTCACATTGAAAACCAAAAAACTATAGCTGATTATTAATATCTAAGAATTGGCTTTTGGTTTTTGTTTTTAAATAAAAGAAAATTAGATTTAAATACTGTGAATATTAAAATTTCGGAAAAATAATTAGTAAAATAACACAAACACACTGAAAAACAGTCTAGAAAAATTTAAAAAAAGCTTTTGGACCCGAAAGAAATTGTGGAATAAAAAAATTACTGGAAAAAATATGAAAGTTATAAAGGAATAAACAACAAAATGAAATATAAAAAACACTAAGAAAAATAAAGAAAGTGAGAAACTTTAGTGGAAAATAAAAAGGACAATATACGACTAACAAAAACAAAAATTAAATTAAAAAATACGAAATTTGAACACAATGAAAAACCTAATAAAAAAAATTGTTTTTCCTTAATTAAAAAATTAACATTGGGTTTTGAAAGCTGGGTAGGGGAGGAAAACTCAAAAAAATACAGAAATAGACTAGAAATTGAGATAAAAATTCTTATTAAAAAAAAAAGAAAAGAATACAAAAAATGCCCTTTTTTGGTGCGCTAGGTCATGAAACAAACGTTTATCAATCGAATAATTATATATTTTTTGTGAATTCAAGACGTAACTGGATGTGTCCAAGGTTGCATAATACGTATCTACTAATTGCCATCATAATTGATTGATTACAAACAATATAATTATGAATATATCTCAAACTCCAGTAAAACGGAATTTTCTCAACCTTGTGCACAGTTACAAACAACGAAATTTATTTTTTCGGTAGTCATCAGGAAGTGAAAGTAAAAATGAAATATCAGTTGAAAAACTCGATTAAACTCATGTCCCTGATAAAAAAAAATTAAATGCAAAAGCAAGCAAATAAGACTCGCATTTTCTCACAATTTAATAATATTTAATTAGCGAACGTTCGTTTTGCATCCTTATCCGACGACAAACCTCCCTTAAACACCGAAAAAATCAACTCAAATGAACTCAAAATGTGATAAAGAATGCATGATAATTACAACGAGAGGATGACTACTCAGACTGAGGTGCACGATTCTGTCTTTTTTCACAGCTTTGCTAATTACCCGAAACGTAGCTCGGGGATTACCGACGAAATCTTAAATTAAAAACAAGCTAGATTGCTGTTAAAAGGTCTTTAATTTTTAGAAACTGAACGGGAGAGGATTGCGACGGCTTTTTTACTTCGTAATAAAGTTTTACGTTTGTTTTTAGAAAATTTGGTTAGCCAGGGACGGACCCAAACTGAAAAGGGGCCCTCTGGCATTTTGTCAATGCAGGGACGGACTGGTAATTACCGTGAATGAAAAGGAGTTTCAAATATGGATTACAAAGAAAAATGAGTTTCAATTTTTTAACATTCGACACTAAAATTAGAGGTGAAAAATTTTTAGTACTTTTTTTGTTATTTTTCTGAGTCAATCTTTCTGTTTTTTGTCGTTTTTAGTTTTTGCGCATCGTTTCTTCTTTTTAATTGTTTCTCTTCTAGTATCATTATGTGTTTAACAATTTAACTAGTGCAGTTAGTAGTGCAAAATGTCGAATACAGATGATAAAAACGCCTAGGTCCAAAAAGATAATTTTTACTCCATGACCGAAAGTTAAAACTTTTACTTGTGACAATCATAAAAGTGGTCACTTTTGTGACGTTTGCAAATAAAAAAAATACATTAAAAAAATTATTAATTTTTTTTACAATAAAGAAATAATTTAAGTAAGATAAAATACCAGGAACAAGAAAAAAAACATAAAAATTCGAAAATTTTCCTTAAAAACAACCCATAAATTCAACAAAATAGGGCAAAAGTGGCGTTATTTTTGACTTTTTCGGGCATATTTTTAAAATAAAATTTAAAAAATGGAAAAATTTTGGTTAAACAGACACAAAAATTGTAAAATTAAATCGAAATTGATAATACTTTTTAGCTTATTTCGCTCAACCTACTTTTTGTCCAAAAATAACAAAAAGAATTAAAATTGATGTTATTTTGTTCGTTTCACTCGACTTAACTGGTTTTTAAGTAAAATTAAGACAAAAATAAGCTGATAAACCACAAAATTTGCTAAAAAAAAAGGCTTTTAAGCACTTTTTTGTACTGAAGTCTTAAAAATAAGCCAAAAAATCACATACTTGGGCCAAAATGATGTAACTTTTATGTTTTTGAAAAGTTGAAGCAGATTTTTTAAACTGAAAAGTTTGTTTTTTGCGAGATTTTGCCATACCAAGTCAAAAATCACTAAATTGTTATAAAAAAAAGATTTACAGTATCAGTATTCGTGTTCCAGAAAAAAATTTCAAGTAAGATAAGATACCAAAAAATGTCTAAAAATTCTCTGCCAAAAAATTTTGACATTTATTTTTTGGCATTTGACATTTTTTATGTCTAATGCTACTGATAATCTTGACAATATGTTTTTTATAATTATTTAGTAAAGGTACTCAAATTTTGCCAATAAAAGCCACAAATAACATTAAAAAGCCTTACAATTTAAGATACAGCTTCCTTTTTTCTTCTTCTAATAGCCTGTAGCAAAAAAACTAGAAAAATTATTTCTCCAACAGAAATAAATAGAGCCAAAGTGTAAAATTTAAGCTTAACTTCAGAATTTTTATAAATAACATTTTTTCCATGTTTCTGGTAGGTTTCTTACCTTACATGACATTTTTCTCTAGAGCGCGAATTCTGGTGCACTCTGTATTTTTTTCTCATTATGAATTGGGAGAAAAAAGTACTAAAAAGGCTTTTTGTGTGCTACAATTTCAAATTTTGAACTTTCAACATTAAAATTACAGAATAAAATCGTTTACTTTTATTTTATTAAAAACTTGGAAAATTATTTTTCCAACAGAAATAAATAGAATCAAAGTGCAAAATTTAAACTCTCCNATCAAAAAAAATTAAATTTTAAAATCGATCATATAACATTTCTAGAGGTTTTAAAGAGTCAAAAAAGTGAAGAAAATGTTATTGGGTCGAGTTCAACTCTCATTACTTCAAAATTTTTATAGATAGAATCTTTTTAACATTTTTTCCATGTTTTTTTTTTACCTTACATGACATTTTTCTTTAGGGCGCGAGTTCTGGCGCACCTGTTTTTTTTTCTGATTATAAATTGGGAGAAAGAAGTACTAAAAACGCTTTTTGTGTGCTAATCTCAATTTTTGAACTTTGAACATTACAATTGTAGAATAAAATCCTTCACTTTTATATTTTTAACAAATTTTTAGACAATAAAAAATATAGTATTTGCAAAATGTTTAACCCATTGACATTTAGCGTCAAAGAAATGACGTTAATTGTCACTTTATGTCCTGTTTATGGCAACAATACCCCAACTTTCTCTTTAAATAACAGCAATTTGCGTAATTTTTTCGTAAAATGTGACCAAAGTGTGAGGAAAATAATGTTATGATCGATAATAAAGTTGGCGCGTAGTTTTACTTTCAAACAGTTTCACACGATG